ACACCAAACTTTTTCTTTTTTGAGTCAGTTTATGTCTCACGGCAAGTCATCCACAACTTACCTAGAATGAAATCATATTTGAATCCAGATCGAGACGGAAATGCGGTCTACGATATCAATTTTTGCAAAGTCACATTTAATCTTACCTTTGATATTTTTACCAGTAAATCCGTCACAAGACGAACGGATATCATATATGTACTTTGCATCTTCAATTCTTCGCATACTGTACACTCATTTTGACATCGTGTGTTGTACATAACCACACGGCTTCAGCGAGTTTAGGATGCTAATACCAGCAATAACCTTGGACTCTGATTCCTACTTTTCTTAGCGAAAACTGCTTCTTTCATGTAACGGGGTTACACGTACACTTAAATGATAGGGCCAGTCACATTAGATGATGTGACCGTACAAAGGTGTGGATTACACAATCACACAATGGAGCGGCTAAACCGTTACAAGAAGCCACCACGTAGCAGGACTGCCAGTAGTAATGCATATTAAATTAAATTTACGATATTAATTAGAAATATCGATTAGATAAACCTAAGGTTTAAGATATTAGCGGCTCTGCCGCAACTCAAACAGTTATATACAGTTTCATTTTTGATCGGAAGAGCGTACCTTGGTTAAGGATTTAAGTGCTCTTGGAAATAGAGGATTGCGATCCGATGCTCTCGTACTGGTTCTTGTGAAAAACGTAAGGTCTGTGATACTAGCTTAGCTTCTTCTTCGCGAAGAGCTACGGCAGCCTCGCTGCACTTGGTAGCACTCGTAGCCAATTAACGCCTCAGTCATTACAACTGATCCTCAGTGGGAATAAAGCAATACTCCTTTTTGCCCCAGGGCATGCAGGGACGGGCTTAATAAGATAATGTCCCTGCTTGGTACTGAAGGACGTATAACACCTTGATTTGCAAGGTCCCGAAGAGATAGACGCGCGCCTAGAGATTCTTCAATAAAATACGGATATACACGGAAGAATTCAATACTGGCCACGCCGGCGCGGAGGCCCTCCATAAAAACAATCACTGCGACCGCCTCGGGGACAGGATCGGCTGTCATCCCGACAATGAGAGTTATTAACTCTTGAAATATTCCATTAGCTCTTTCTTGCGCTGTCAGGCAACCCGATCGCACGGGATATGCCTGATTATTCGGTGAGATCACTCGCAAAAGCTGACGCTTCTGCTTCTTTCAGGAGAAGAACGCAGCTTCAACCGAAGAACCGCACAATAGTGCCTTTTCGCGCGCTCGGCCCATTAGCTTGGAGATAGCTAGCGCCACGCTATTGCTCGTTCTGGAGCATGGTGGATGCCTTGGTCATCTCGGCCTTTCTCACCAAGAGCAGGAGATTCTCTCCATCCTTACCCTCGAGGGTCTTTACGCTCACCATGAGCGGCCTGGGCCAGAAGGAGTCATCCATCGTCGACGGTGGCGTAATGGACGTAGTCGACGCCGACAGCTTTTGCTGTAAGCACCCTAGCAGAGCAAAGTCATGGATCAAAAATCCTCGCGGTGAAAGGTGGCATTGAATGCCGAATTTAACTTCAAGTCTTCACAACTTGGTTGGAATGCACACCCTTTGAGCTCGTCGAGCGGACCTGAGCCAATGGATCTCAGCAATGCTGAGAATGAGAAGGAAGAGCTCCGAGCTGCCGAGCAGCGTTTGAACACTCGATGGTGTTTTGACTGTGAAGATACCCGTCATCTTCGGGGTTTATGTCTCCTGCGCAAGGCGCGTAACGGTTCATCGAATCGATGTTTTGCCTCCAACCAGTATGGTTTGTCGCGGGGAAACGAGGAAACCCAGTAGGCGCGGGCACCCAACTGGGAAAGAACTGAGTCTTGTTGTACCTCAAAGAGGTAGAGGGCAGCAGGGCGCAGCCCTGAAGAGCTCCGTGCTCTTGAACACGGAACGTGTATGCAAGACAGGCTTGCTGGTCTTAAAAGCAGCCGTGAAGAACTTAGAGAAGCCACGAAATATTCTTATCGACTCCGGAGCGTCAGATAGTTAAGTTAGACGCTCCACAATCGACTGTATGCTGAGGCGCTGAAGGCGCGGTTGAGTGACACCGTCGCTGTACGCTTAGCGACGGGGTGTGCCGAGGGTCCCTATGGACCTCGGTATCAACGTATCTGACTTCGATGTTGTGAAACGCTACTCATGCTTAGCCTTGGATACAAGGATGACCTTATACTTGGTATGGCATGGTCGGAACACCATGAGCCATGGATTGATTGGGAGTCGAAGACCTTGGGCGCGCGTCTTTGAGCTTTGGTGAGTTATTATAAAGCAAAATCTACATACTCCACACGTAGCTACACCATTATGTTTCCTCGGACGCAATATATTTGCCAACGAATATAAACCCACATGCAGATGCGCTATTGGCGTGGGCACTTGACTGATACGGTCTCTGTGCTGGATTTCAGAGTATTCGAGTTGTTCAAAGCCGAAGGTGTATTGGTAGTGTTAATAACATTAAGGCTCCAATGGAGCAGGGAGTGGGGACACTGGACGACGGTGAGTGCGTGTTACTACTGGTCTCACCGAAACGTAAAACCTTAATAGAGAGAGGACGGCGATGCCGTATATTCTTTTGCAAGACGCAGGGCATCGACCCTGACACAGAGTGTGTCTACTATATACCCTTGTCAACGATAGACGCGAGTAAGACGGCGACGTCACCATCAAGGCTATTCCCGTGGTGGATGCTCTTTTTGCGCTGGTCGAGATGTCCTTTGAAGAGTTTGGCGGTGCCTTGAAGGCAGGCAATTTAGCCGAGGTGATAATTATGAAACTGAAACCGAACGAGGAGGTTAACTCGTCGTCGCTTCTGGATAATGTTGTCCTGGCGGACTACAAGAGGGTGCCAAACGCACGAAGTTGGTCGTCGATCCTGAAGGATTCCTCGAAGCCGCTATATCCTTTGGTAAAGGAATTTCAAGACGTCGTCTCTAAAGATCTGCCGTCAGTCCTACCTCCGGACCGAGGTGTGCGTTATGAGATCGACCTCTTTTCTGGAACCGAAATGGCGTAACACGCCAATGGGTTCTGCCCAAGGAAAGGTGTGAAGTCATTGACGCCTTTTCCGTGAGATGCATGATGTAGTAATGATGCGTGTGAGCATTTGACATCCACGTTATGTGTCCGGATGCCGATTGGAAAGTGGCGTATCGTTCACGCTTACAATAAGCTAAGCGCTGCCACCATTCCGGCACAGACGCCGATCCCAAGAAAAGATATTCTCCAGAACAATATGGTTGACTGTACAAAGGACAGCGCACTCGACTTGGTCGATCTTCAAAGTATGTCTGTGCATACGCCTGGTCGGGCCTAAACAATTGCGTCACAAGACGATTAATGTCGCTGGTTCATCTAACAGCCATTGGGGCATCACCAGTCACTCCCAGAGCATCCCGCTCGGAGTACTCACCGCTATCAGCGGAATATCTCTCGCCCTCATGAGCATAGTCGTGCAGGGCACGGGAGGACAATTCAGAAAGACCTCATCGCTCAAAGCGGTGCTCGTGGGCATGCGCACAGATGAGATTTGTGCTAATGCTGATAAGTGCATCTTCGGCGTGGAAGAAATCTACTTTTAGGGTGCTTCATTGGGACGTGTGGCCTTCGAGAGGGTTAGCTTAGGTCAAGGCCATTGTGGACTGACTGACTGGCCGGTTCCAAAGCACCAAAAGGACTTGCGCAAGTGGCTTGACCTCGCCAAATACTTGCACAAGTATAGTGCGAATTATGCGGAAATTATACGGCCATTATCGAATCTCCTTAAGAAGGTTGCGGAATGGTGTTGGGACACCGAGCAGTCGGAGGCTTTCTACGAGGTCAAAGACAGCCTCCTGCATGCACTAATACAGCGGTTGTCAGATCCTGATCGTTCTTTTAGTGTCGTCTGTGACGCTTCGGACTTTGCCATCGGCTGTGCACTGGTGCAAACCGACGAGGAGTGGCGAGATCGGGTGATTGCGTTCGAATCTCGCCAGCTTATCGCTGTGGAGAGGAACCACCCAGTCCGCGACAAGGAGTTACTTGCGATGAAGTATGCTCTTGTCAAGTTCAGGGTTCACCTACTTGACTCAAAGCCGTTTGTGATCCACACATATCATGCGTCATTGTGCACTGCGACTCAGTCGCCTCTTCTCTCGCAGAGGATGGCCAGATGGCTCTCATTAGTTGCAGAATACAACTCCGAGGTGAAGTATTAGCCAAAAAAGCAGAATGCTTTGGCTGATGCGTTGTCACGCAGACCGGATTATGAGCTTGCTCA